CAAAAAAGAAAGAAAGAAAGAAAGAAAGATTTTATTTTATGAAAAATGATATTGATGATTTGGTAGGAATTGTGTGGAATCTGTAGATTGCTTTAAGCAGTATGGACAGTTTAGTGATATTGATTCTTCTAATCCATGAACATGGCATGTTTTTCATTTAGTTGTGTTTTATAGTTCTCCTTGTAGAGATCTTTCACTTTCACTTCTTTGGTTAGCTGTATTCCTAGGTATTTTATTTTTGCTTGTGGCTATTGTAATTGGGATTTGTGTTCTTTATTTGGCTCTCAGCTTGACAATTGTTGGCATATAGGAATGCTACTGATTTTTATACACCAATTTTTTATCCTGAAACTTTGTCAGTCATTTATCAGGTCTAGGAGTATTTTGGAGGAATCTGTAGGGTTTTCTAGGTATAGAATCATAACATCAGTGAACAGAGATCATTTAACTTCCTCTTCCCATTTGGATGACTTTTATTCCTTTCTCTTGCTTGATTGCTCTGGCTAGGACTTCCACAACTACGTTGAACAGGAGTAGTGAGGGTAGACATCCTTGTCTTATTCCATTTCTTAGAGGGAATGCTTCCAAAGTTTACCCACTCAGTATGATGTTGGCTGTGAGTTTGTCATAGATGGCTCCTATAATTTTGAGATATGTTCCTTTGACACCTACTTTTTTGAGGGTTTTTATCATTTAAGGATGTTGGATTTTATTATATATATTTTTTCTGCATCTGTTGAGACGATCATAAAATTTTTGTTTTTAATTTTGTTTATGTGGTGAGTCACATTTATTAATTTGGACATACCGAACCATCCTTGCATCCCAGGAATAAAGCCTGCTTGATCATGCTGAATTATGATTTTGTCATGCTGCTGGATTTGGTTTGCCAGTATTTTGTTGAGGGTTTTTGCATCTATGTTCATCAGGCTATTGGCCTATAGCTTTCTTCTTTCACTGTGTCCTGCCAGATTCTGATAGCAGAATGAGACTGTTTTTGTAGAATGAGTTAGGGAGGAAACTCTCCTCCTCAATTTTTTGGTATAGTTTCAGTAGGATTGGTACCATCTCTTCTTTGCAGGTCTGGTAGAATTTGACCGTGAATCCATCCAGTCGAGGGCTTTTTAAAGTTGGTAGATATTTTATTACTGATTCAATTTTGTAATTCATCATTGGTCTGTTCTGGGTTTCAATTTCTTTCTGGTTCAATCTTGGTTGTGTGTTTCTAGGAATTTATCTGTTTCCTCTAGATCTTCTGGTTCATGTGAATATAGATGTTCATAGCAGTCTCTGAGGAGCGTTTGTATTTCTGTGGGATCAGTTGTAATGTTGCTTATTTCTGGTTGTGTTTATTTGGATTTCTTAAATTTGTTAATCTAGATTGCAGCCTATAAATCTTGTTCATTCTTTCAAATAGCTAATTTTTCTTTTCATGGATCCTTCGAGTGGCTTGTCGGTCACAATTTTATTTAGTTCTACTCTGATTTTAGTTGTTTCTCTTCCTCTGCTAGCTTTGGATTTAGTTTGCTCTTGTTTTTCTAGTTCCTTTAGGTGTAATGTTAGGTTATTAATCTGAGATCTTTCTAACTTCTTGATGTAGGCATTTAGTGAAATAGACTTTTCTCTCAATACTGCTTTTGCTGTATGCCAGAGGTTTCGGTATGCTGTGTCTCTATTTTCAGCTGTTTCAAAGAATTTTTTGACTTCTGCCTTAATGACTTACTCCAAAGTCATTCAGGAACTAGTTGTTTGGTTTCCAAGTAGCTGTGTAATTTTGAGAATTCCTTTTGGTATTGATTTCTATTTTTATTCCACTATGGTCTGAGAAGATGGTTGGTGTGATTTTCATTTATATAAATTTACGGAGATTTGCTTGATGACTAAGCATTGAGTCAATCTTGGGGTATGTTCTGTGTGCAGATGAGAAGAACTTACATTTTGTGGTTGTTGGGTGGAGTATTCTATAGATGTCTATTAGGTCCATTTGAACGCATGTCCAATTTAAGTCCAGAATTTCTTTGTTAGTTTTCTGCCTCAGTGATCTGTCGAGTGCTGTCAATGGTCTGTTGAAGAACCCCACTGTTATTGTTATCCATCTCTTTTCTTAGGTCTAGTAGTTATTGTTTTATAAATCTAGGTACTCCAGTGTTGACTGAATATATATTTAGGATGTTAAATCTTCTTGTTTAATTGAACCCTTTATCATTAGGAAGCGCCCTTGTTTGTGCATTTTTACTATTGTTGGTTTAAAGTCTGTTTTATCTTTTTTTTTAATTTTTATTTATTTTTTATTTTTTATTTTTTTGAGACAGAGTTTCACTCTGTTACCCAGGCTGGAGTGCAATGGAGCGATCTCGGCTCACCGCAACCTCCGCCTCCTGGGTTCAGGCAATTCTCCTGCCTCAGCCTCCTCAGTAGCTGGGATTACAGGCACACACCACCATGCCCAGCTAATTTTTTTTTGTATTTTTAGTAGAGACGGGGTTTCACCATGTTGACCAGGATGGTCTCGATCTCTTGACCTCATGATCCACCCGCCTCGGCCTCCCAAAGTGCTGGGATTACAGGCTTGAGCCACCGTGCCCGGCTAAGTCTGTTTTATCTTATACAACAACAGCAACCCTTTGTTTTCCATTTGCATGAGAGATCTTTCTCCATCCCTTTGAGGGTTTGGATGCCATTATATGTGAGATGAGCCTCTTTCTCCTTTGTGAAGCTTAGTTTGGTAGGATATGAAATTCTTGGCTGGCATTTTTTAAAAAAGAAACCTAAAAGGCCGGGCACAGTGGCTCATGCCTGTAATCCCAGCACTTTGGGAGGCTGAGGTGGATGGATCACAAGATCAGGAATTTGAGACCAGCCTGGCCAAGAGGTGAAACCCTGTCTCTACTAAAAATACAAAGAAATTAGCCAGGCATGGTGGTGCACACCTGTAATCCCAGCTACTAGGGAGCCCGAGGCAGGAGAATTGATTGAACCCAGGAGGCAGAGGTTGCAGTGAGCTGAGATCCCCCCACTGCACCCCAGCCTGGGTGACAGACTCTCAAAAAAAAAAAAAAAAAAGCCTAAAAATAAGCACCTAATCTCATCTGAATTGTAAAGCTTCTGCTGAGAAGTCCACTGTTACTTTGAGTGGACTTCCTTTATAGGTAATTTGGCTCTTTTCTCTAGCTTCCTTCAAGATATTTTTCTTTCATGTTGACCTTGGGTAGTCTCATGACTGTGTGCCTTGGGGATGGTGATTTTATATTAGCATCTCTCAGGAATTCTCTGAATTTCTTATTTCTGCATGTTGACTCCTTTAGCAACATTGCGGACATTTTCCTGAATTATACCTTCAAATGCATTTTCCAAGTTGCTTATTTTTTTCTTCTGTGTGAGGAATGCCAATAAGTCATAGGTTTGGTCATGTCCCATAATCCTGTACTTTTCAAAGCCTTTGTTCATTTCTTAAAATTATTTTTCTTTATTTTTGTGTGACTGGGTTAATTGAAAAGACTGGTATTCTTTCTCTGAAATTCTTTCTCCTTCTTGATCTAGTCTGTTGTTGAAGTTTCCAACAGTATTTTGAAATTCCTGTAGCAAAATTTTCAATTCCAGAAGTTCTGTTTGATTCTTTCTTGTGCTTTGGCTCACACCTGGCTCATTTTTATGCCTTCTTAATAGTGGATTTCAACTTGCTCTTGGATCTTGCTGCGTTTTCTTGCCACTCACATTCTGAATTCTACATCTGTCATTTTCAGCATTTTAATCTGGTTAGGGTACATTTCAAACCCAGGTGCTCTCCAGCTGCAGAGGTAATTTATTTCTTCATTCGAATACTTTTGGAGCACAACGATGCTGTTTCATACCCACTAGAATGGCTACAAGCAAAAGGCAGGCA